GCTGGAACAGACACACCAGCATCAGCGACGTCGGAGCGGGCTCCAGGAGACACCCTGCGAGCTGCTGGCTCAGCCTGCCTGTGCGCACAAGGGGAGCCTGTTTTCCTGCGTTTATGGCACGGCGTGATCAGCAGGACACGGGAGAGAGTGTGCTCCAGGACAGCCTGGATAGAAGGAGCCTTGTTGGTGCAGCCCATCGCTGCCGGTCTCCACGCAGCTGGGCTGCAGCGGCTGTTTCACTTGGACAGGAGCACTGAGATGTGTTCAGCCCCACGAGCTACACCTCTGCTGCTCCTTCGTCAGCAGAGAGCCCGTGGTGATGCTGGCCAGAGGAAGACCAGCGTACCTCCAGCTACAGGGATGTCTTTACCCTGTGTCACCAGTTCCTTCTTGCTCTGCCCCCCTCTCTGGATGTGCAGAAACACCTTCTCCCACCTTCTCTCCCTCTGCTCAGACTACGCTGTGTACTTGGCTACCTGGAGATGGGCAGTGCACGCCCTGGGTGCACTGATGTCTGTCACGGTGTCAGGTGCCCGTCCCATCCGGGTGGGCAATGGTACCCTCTGCGGGAAGGCCTGTGCTTGCATCCTGACCAACAGAAAGGATACGGACGTGGCGAAACAACTCCTGCAAACCAGTGAAAGCCTGATGTAGGGCTCCGTTACGGGGCAGAAAACCTAGAGGGTATCAGATGAAGTCAACCAAGTTCGCAGCCATCCAAGCGGGGAGAAGGCGGCTGCCAGACGAGAGATCAGCAGCAGCTGCAGCCCTCAGCAAAGTGATTCTGCAAGCTGCACCCTGAGGAACGAGCTGCGTGGCGTGTACTCAGCCCCTGTAAAGATGCGCCTGGGCACCTACACAACAGCAGATGCAAGAGGGGTGGTGTGAAAATCCCCTCCTGACTTGGCAATAATTAACGGTATTTGTCAGTGACTGTATCAACAGCTGGGTGTTAGCGGGCTCTGCACCCCAGCCTGGACTCTGAAGAATTTGCAAGGCGTCTGTTTTCCCCTCTGAAACGTTTCAGCACCCCCCTCTCAGGAATCCAGGAGCCCAGCTATCACCACCTAAAATCTCACTTCTTAGGACTGGGTGACAGAAGCGTTTCGATAATTTGCTTTTGGGAGAGAGGTTGTAAAAGGTAAGGAAGATACTGGAGGCACCGGCAGCCCCGGGCCAGCTTAGCCAGCATGGCAGACAGCCTGCCAAAGCTGGTCCTCCTCTGCTCGCCTGCCGTCCTACGGCCGCAGGCAGCGAGCGGTCTTTTAGGACACCGAGCTCGTTCGGGAGTGCCAAGGCTGCGTGCTCCCACGTGCCGGCTCGCTGCCTCGCCGGGGCAGGAGGCGTACAGGTCTCCCTTTGATTTCGGACCTTGGCCCTGGCCGCTGCTTGCTGCGCTTCTCGAAATGCTAAACTGAGCTTGTTTGATTTAATGATGTTACGGCGTAGGGGAATGTAAGCCTGGAAGGGTCTGCTGGTGCTGATGGGGATATTGGCTAACTCACTGCTGGCTGATGAATTGCTGCTAAAGATGATCTAATTAAAGACAGCATTTAGTTTACTGCTGCTTTATTAGGCTTCAGATTGAAGCAGAATCTCCTTAGCTGATACAATTTTCTTTCCTTCCCTCACCCCATCTTCTCCACATTCTCTTTTGGTAGCTTTCCTCCCTCTTTTGCATTTCTGAGGTTTGGTCCTTTATGCCAGGCAATATTTTTCACTCCTACTTTAACTAATGGAAACATAATTGCACATGCATCTGGTGGTAATGATGGATGTAATTAACCATTTCCACATCCCAGTTCCTCTGCCTATTTCTTTGCTAAATACTATTGCTTTCAGGTCAGCTCTGGCCTGCAGAAAATATCTCAAATAATGGAAATGACTGGTAGTAGCTGAGGTAGGTATCAGTGCCTGGAAGTAGATTTTAAAGGCTGTAGCACCATCAGGCAAAGAGCTCGGCACCAGCAGAGTCCCAGACTGTCAGTGCCAGCTCCTGCTAATTGCAGCCTGTGCTTCTCCATCCAACCTCTGCGACGGCTGCTACGATGAGGAAAGGGTCAAGCTGCTCTGAACCCACTTTGCAGCAAGTGTTGGCCATGGTGTTGGATGCAGCCCACTCTGGGGAGGGGTGGAAAGCCCCTAGGGAAGAGGTTGGGAGCAAGCCGCATGGCTTGCGTTGGGGAATAGCACATCTTGAATCCTTCGGAGGAAAGTTACAGTGTAAGGAAGGAAGTGCTTTGTCCATCTTATTGCTGATCAAACCACTGCAGCCTGCCCAGAGCCTGCTGGAGTCATTGGCACAGAGCAAGCAGAAAGGACACTGTCCCCAGCCTGCCGGAAAGCAGACCTGCCACCTTCCCGGCTCTCGGCTGGAGCTTGGCTGGAGACAGCGGCTGAGAAACCAGCAAAGCCAGGATCTGATTGCAGCAGGCTCCTCCTCCAGAGACTACAGAGAGGGAAGGAGAGGCGGGGAGCCGGAGCCAGCAACTTCAGGCTGCCTACCTGCACCTTGCCAGCTGGGCTGGGGACCGCGCCGGGGGCGAGCATCTTCGCAACCCGCACCCCATGGGATGTGCGGGGTCCCCGGCGCTCCCTGCTACCCTGGGTGCATCTCCCTGCCGCCGCCCAACTCCAGCCCGGCATGGAGAGTCTGAGCAACAGCCTGAGGAAGAAAGCCACAGAGCAGCACTACAGGGCAGAGGTGATGATTGCCGGAGAGCAGCTGAGGTAGGAGGTGATGGGGCCCTTCTCCAGGCTGGGCTGTGCCCAGGGTTAGCCCTGGGGCTCTGGACTGTACCCCATTAGCAGGAGGCTCAATGCTTTATCCTTGAGCAAGCGTTTTCCCCGTAGGTGCTAGTGTCTCCCCCTCCCCAGTATCTGCCGATCCTTCTTTCACCCATCCCAGTGGTGAACCAGGTCCTTTCCCATACTACCTTGTCCTGCTGCTCCTCTCCAGGCACCTCCTGCCCTTCGCTTCCAGGTTCCAGGAGCCTGGCAGGTGGTTTTACATGGCAATAGGTGTTTTTTAAGCCCTTTGCATCCTCCCCTAAACCCAGAACCTGACGTGGTGACACTGAGCAGGTTCCTGGTCCCTGGCTGATGGGGACAGCAGCGCGTCCGGGGGCCTTCGGACTTCTGGGGGTGATTTGGGAGGTCGTCCCATGGGTGACATGCACCTGAATTGTTTTGCACAGCAACATGTAGGGTCTTCCCTCTCTTGAAAGTCACTTTTGGGAACTTCTGCTGGTTTGTAGTCCCGGTTCTTGAGCAACTTCTGAGGTTTTTTCCCTTATGAAGACAAAAATATATTCTCCTGTGCAAGAAAATTTGTGTGGCTGAGGAAACCTGTTCCTTGTGTATCTGGGGTCAGAAGCCCTCGCTTTCTTCTAAGCATGCGACTGTAGGCTTTTCCAGCTCTTGAGCAGAGTTTGCTTGTTTGTATCTGCTTTGCTTTGAAATGTGGGTGGAAAATAGGAAATATATCCTTGAATAATGTAAAGAGCCCAGAGCCCAAGTTTGCTAGCATCAGGTTCCTAAAATTAGCTCTGTGTTGCTATGTTGTCCACTCTCAGTGAGTCATGTTAGCCTTAGCTTTATTATTTGTACAGCATCAAGGACTGATAATGTCCAGCTAAGGATTAGGGCCCTATCTTGAAAACACAGCCAATGTCCAAAGTGGCTGGATTTTAAATATGTAGTGATGGTTAGCCACATTTCCAGTCTATCGTCTTTCACAAATATTACTGTTCTAGCTCCAGAAATTAAATCCTTTCCTTAGGTAGTGACTGGGAGAGCTGCTGTTGGGGGTGGAGGCTGCATCAACCTTTCTGCCTTTGCAGCGTTTGCAGTCCATGTTGTAAGCAAGGCTTTGAAAACAAGCTTAACTTTCTTATAGGGAAAAGCAGCAGGTGATCTAAGAGTGACTTGCCTCATTTCAATAACTCAGTGCAAGAGATGTAAAGCTATGACTTTTTCCATCTTCTGGGCAGGCTTATTCATATTTATATTTCCAGTATATTCGTATTTATATATCCAGTATTTTACTCCTCTGGAGTGACTGAGGTTTAAACCAGGTCCTATAGCCTGGGCCAAAGGAGGGGGTCAGGTATTCAGAAAGAAAATAAAATAATCAAGATGCGTTAAAACTGATCAGTGTGTGTGCAAGGGGAATGATGTGGCTTCCTTGTGCCTTTTGCAGGACAGGAGCGTGTCAGATCCTGGACCATCTGGTGATTGTGACTGTAAGGAGGAGAAGGGGCTACAGTAAAACTATTTGTGAGCAGAGCTCTTTTAGTATGCTGCACACTGTGCTAGTTCTTGTAAGCAAGGTAAAGGCATAGTACAAACATTACACTCTTCTGAAAACCAGTAATACTAACTTATTTATTCCTCTCAACATTTGTCTGGAAACTTCAGTCCTTATTGTCAGTGCGAAAGTACCCTGAGCCTTTAAAAAGGATGCTGAAAGCCTGAAGGGAGGCCAAGTTTCTGCAGGGAGAGAATATCTTTCCATTAGTGTGACTGGGATAAAGCTCAATAGAAAACCCAAAATATATGTACTTTTCGGGGCACCCATCTTTTTTTCTTCTTTTTTTTTTTTTTCCCCCCCTCCCCTTCTGTAACTGGAGTGCCTGGAGTTTCCTGGTTAGGGAGCTCCCAAAATCTGAGTTTTCAGACCAAGCCCATTGCAGCAGGTTGCAACGTTGAACTGCTTGCTGCTGTTCAGTTTGCTACCCCAGGGTGAACCCGATGCAGGTCATCTCTGCTGGAAGGGGTGATAGGAGGGGTAGGAAGCACGTACGAGTGGAGAGAAGAGGGGAGAGTTCTCCCCTCGGAGGCTGGCATTCGCTAAAACTGCGATGCTAGGAGACACGTGCTGTTTTGCAAACACTGCAGCGCCGGGAGCAGACCGGATCTGCCTTTGGGCAGCCTCAACTGCTTCACGCCCCTGACCTGCTCTTGAAAGGCTCAAACTCTTTGTTGCCTGGAGAAGAGCAGGTGGATTTCATCCAGCAGGACTGCTCTCTTCTTCAGCTGTGTTTGTAACAGCTCTAAATGCCAAGGGAGGACCCCAGAGTACCCAGCGCTCACGGTGGTGGAGTGGTGGGTCCTTTTGCTGGTGGCTTGGCAAACTGCAGTCACATTCTTCCGCTCTGGTCTGGGCAGGAGCCTGTTCCCAGTGCAGAAAGACTGGAAGGAGCTGCTGGCCAGCACGGGGTGTAAAACCCGGGGAGGAGGGTGAAGAGATGGACACCAACCTGCAGCTGGGCTCCTCCTTCCCCTGCAGCTCCTCCGGCTGAAAGGAGAATTGAGTGATGCAGAGCAGAACACACTGAGTCTGTCTCTTGTATTTTGGGGATCTTACAGTCTGGCAGGTAAGGAGTTAGTGATATGAATCTTCCTGGGGCCTGGATGCCCAATAGGTAGCAATGGGGAAACTGAGGCAGAGAGGCTGGATGATGCCTCAGGCAGCAGCAGATGGGGCAGGGCTGAATGTCTGATTGTGCTCCCCTGCTTTCCCCCACGTAAGGAATAAAGCAGCATGTAAAGGAGCCTTGCGGTCTGCCCTGACTCTGTAAACCTCGATCAGCAAATAATCATAGAATCATGGAATGGTTTGGGCTGGAAGGGAGCTCAAAGATCATCTAGGTCCAAGCCCCCTGCCATGGGCAGGGGCACCTGCCACCAGACCAGGTTGCTCAGAGCCCCATCCAAGCTGGCCTTGGACACTTCTAGGGGTGGGGTCTCCACAGCTGCTCTGGGCAAGCAGATACAATGCCGTCGTATCTACGTAAAATCTCAAACGTTTGTTTTTCCCTGTTCTCTGCTTCCTGCCCTGCCTCCCTGCTATTGTATTTAACCAAACAAACCTTTGCTTCATCTGTACAGTTCTTTGGCTTCCCGGCAAGTTTGCAAATCCCTCTGAGTTTGGTTTGGCCAGAGGGACGAGTCTGTGCAGTGTCAGGATGCGTTTCCCAGCCAGAAATAGCTGCACAAGCGAGGGGTGAGGGAATGCTTCATGAGTATGGCCGGGAACAAAACAGATCTGAAAGGAATTGAGGGGAGAGGGGATGTGCTTTGGGCTGTCTGCCAGGGTCCCTTCGCTTCCAAGGGGTGCTGCTTTCTCGCCCATCGAGGGGGAAGAGTTTTGGGTCTTGAGTCTCTCCCCACCAAAAAGATGAAGATAATTTCCCCTGGTATTTTGGTCTTGGGTTTGACAGGGCTGCTATCTCCGACTCGTTCCTCACCTCTCCTGCTGTCGGTCTTTTTGTTTCAGATGTATAAACTTGCATGAAAATCACACTCGTTTTACTGGGCATTGTGTGTTCCTGGGTGGTATTCTCTAAGAGAGCCCCAATTAGTCATTTCTAATTGCAACAAATGGCTTATCTGCACAGAGATATTCTGGAACAGCTACAGCGCTTTGAATTCACACCCTGCCGTAATCTGAGTTTCTCAAGTGTAGGCAAGTCCTTGTGCACTCTCTTCTGGGTGTTCCTCGTGGTCAGGTGAACCAGCCGTTCTCTAATAACTCTGTTAAGCTGTATTAATCACTCTTAAATGTAAAATGTACTTGGTAAAATTATGTCTTGGACAAAAAAAGTGAGAGGAGAAGGAAGGTTTTCTCCTATGAAGACCAAAATTATGATTTCAGCCACTGTCCAAAATTTTCCAAGGTGCTGAGTGTTTTATTTGGATACTCGAACTGAGACGCTGTTAAATAAAGTGCTCATACTTTGATGCTCTGGAAATTGAGCTCGCTTCAAGGTGTATAGCTGAACATGCCAAAGCTTGTGTTCCTGGCCAAAATCTTGGGTCCACTGGAGGTTTGGTGGTTCTCTGTTGAACTTGGATCTTTAGAAGTGGGGATGTTTTCCTGGAGGAATTGTGGGACACTGCTTGATGTGGCGGTCACCAGGCAAACATCTCTGGGCTGCGTTATTCGAAAGACCAGACTTCATGATCAGAATGGCCTTAAAAAGCCTATTCATTCAATTTTCAGCACTGGTGAAAGTGAGGACTGGGAAGTAGACTTGTGCTTGCCAGGATTTCTTTTTAAGTCCCTTTTTCCTATATGTACATTTAAATACAAGCAGGAAAATAAAACATCTCTGTACCACTTTAGCTAGGCTGCCCCAGGCGTGCAAAGCTCGCTCTTCCCCAGAATGTACTGGTGCTTTTGCAGACTGGCAGTGCCGGAAACTGGGTTTTGCTGAGCCTGCTTGCAGTGGCCTTTTTGCCTGAATGTGCCTCTCCAGCAGCTATTTTGCAGATAAGCTGTTGTGGCTGTTGCTGCCTTTTACTGAGCACTTAGTTGTTTGTTTGGGTGTTGGTTTGGGTTTTTTTTTTTGTGTGTGGTTTTTTTGTTTGTTTGGTTTTTTTTCTTTCTGTAAAGATAGGAACAGAAAAGATCCTTTGGGTGACGCAGCTTTCCAGGGCCATTCACTCGTTCTTAACCGCTGTGGGAATGCCAGCCAGAGTTAATATCCTTGTAAGATCCACCTTGGCATTTGAGACGCTCAAGGTCTGTTTGCATGGGTAGGAGGTGATGGAGAGCACCCCAGGGAGACATTCCCGCTCCACGCAGGCACGTGTGAGTTCTCGGTGCAGAGTACCTACCGCTTTAGGGATTGCTCTGGCTGTGCAACGACGACACAGTAAAAGCAACACCTTTTCCAATACAAGAAAGCCCTTTGCTTGGGCGTAAGCCCCTGGTTTAGACTCGCAGTTCTGAGACTGTGAAATGCGAACACACAGAAGTGATCAAGAGAGGAGCTCCTTGGGTTGCTCTCCAGCAGAGGACATCCGTAACGCTGCCGGGAAAATGCTGTCCTGCCAGAGGAGCAGGGAAGTTGTGTTTGTGACTGCTGAAGTGACTTAAACTCTTGATTCCATAGAGTTTTGTAATTTTTTTGGGGGGGGGGGGGGGGGGGGGTTTTTTTTGGGTTTTTTTTGTTTGTTTGTTTGGTTCCCCTGCCTTCTCTTTACACTGCTGCGGATCTCCCTTTCAACAAGGTTACACAGGATGAATAACGATGTCTTTGTAGTGACCTTGACAAAGAAACAATTTGCTTATCCGATGCAGACTACCCAAAGCAAACGCACGTGAAAGCAGCACACGGACTGCCAAACGAGCAGTGTTTCGTAAGAGTCGACTCTCATGTTCCACAAAGCATTTTATCCTTGTGTAATTTTGCTTCCCCCCGCCTTTTGAAGAAGTAATATGTACACAGAGTAGGCTTTGGCATCTAGAAAACTCATAACATTGCATTACACATCCTTCCTTAAGGTATTTTTTTATCTGGAAGCATGATTATAAACCGCTCATAGTCTCACGGGCTTTGCTTTTGGACCATTGTACATGGACTGGTTTATAGAGGGTGTCAGCTGGGCTGTTCGAAGATGCGGTTGGCGTTACGTCCTTCTGTGTCTGAAGGACAGAATTTGTCTCCTCATGGTTGATGGGAAACAGTAAACAAGAGGAAAGTGAAAAGACCACAAGGACACTCGAGCGTGCATCTTCCGCTGCCCTGGGTCTGCGGGCAAGAGGGCAAACTTGTCACAAACTTCAAACAGCCCACGAAGGTCCCTGACACTGCTGCCCCAGAGGTGCTTAAATACCACTTAATCCCTGTCCTGGCAATCATTCCCAATAGAATAGTTTCAGAATAAGTGTTTTTTGGTTGTGTGTTTTTTTTTTTTTTTTTTTTTAAATCCTAGGTTTTAGTGGTATTGTTTGCCGAATATATTTTTTTTTCTTCCCACCCCCCCAGGATCTGTGCATTTTCTACAATAACCTGAAAAGTGATTAAAAAAAGACCTACAGGGGAAATAGTACTCTCCCAACCAGTTTCTCTTCAGGCCTTGTGTGATTATGCTCTATGTGTTATTGTGGGTGAAGATATGTGTGTGTGTGTGTATATATGTATGTGTGTATATATATAGTCTTTATAGACTCCTGCAGACTCTTGATAACAACAGAGTAGTCTTGGTTAAACCTTTCTTATCTCTACCAAACATGCCTCTGAAGTGGCATCCCACTTGCTGGTTACTAAGGCAAGAAAGCATATGACGAACGGCTGCCTGTCTTCTCCCATAGCAGAGGGGTGTCGGGGTGGGGAGCCTCTCTG